CTGGGTGAAAGTGCCTCAACCTGAAGTGCTGGTTTGACCTCCTTGCAGCTTGGATGGCTGCCCCATCTAGGTGGAGCTGCTCCTAGCAGGTGCAGTTTTGGAGCTGTAGGGTGCTGATGTGCTCACAGTAGCACCACCTGGCATGAAACCTCCTGCAGCATCAGTGTTCCATCCAAACATACAGTGTGGGCAAGAGGTGGAGCCACTATCCTGCTGTGAGAGAAGGGGGAAGTAGTTAGAGACACATATTACATTGGAGGGCCTCCTTGCACCCTGTGGCCCATCTGGCCCCCCCTTGGGCCAGACCTCGTTTTTTTACAACCATTCCCATGGGGTGGGCCAGTTTGATGTAGTGGTTAGGAGCACAGACTCTAACAGTGGACCGGATTACAGCTTTGGCAGTACCATGGTTGGACCACCATGCCCTGAAGGCTCATCTGAAGGTTCCACCCTGACCCTGTTTAGGTAGCGAGCATATTTTAGCTCGCCCATGGAGCCAAATGGACCCCATGCAGTTCCAGATGGTTCTGCAGGATCCGATGCCCCCTGGCAGCTCGTTGGATGAGCTTGTGGAGGACTGGCATAGCTGGCTCTCTATAGCCATCGACAAGATCGCTCCCCGGTGCCCTCTGCACCCTCATTCTAGGCTTGCTCCCTGGTTTACCCAGGAGTTGTGGCTTTGAAGCGGGAGCTAAGACAGCTAGAGAGACGGTGGCATCGTGCTCGAGATGAAGCTACAAGAGCAGCGTATAGGATGTTTATGAGATCCTATGAGATGGCAGTCAAAGCTGCTAAGAGAGAGTTCTACGTGGCTACGATTGCGTCTGCCAGCTCATGCCCAGCCCAATTGTTTAGACCGATTCGGTCAATAACAGTTCTGCCACAGGGGAGACCAAACACTAGGGAATTGGAAATTGGCTGCGAGGCATTTGCGAGCTATTTTGTGGATAAAGTCTTGGTGCTCTGCCGCAACCTCCCCGCCACATTTGGAACAGTGAGTGAACTCGAGACCCCTTGCATGTCTTCGCTGGCTTTGGAGCATTTCGGCCCGCTCAGCCTAGAGGAAATTGACAGATTGCTCGCAGCTGTGCATCCAACCACATTCAGCCTTGATCCATGCCTTTCCTGGCTCATTAAAGTGGGCCATGAGGGGTTTCAGGGTGCCCTCAGGGAGATTATCAACGTCCCTTTCAGAGGGACAGTTCCTGGGGGCACTCAAGGAAGCAATGGTCCGCCGTCTCTTGAAAAAACCATCTCTGGACTCAGCCGAATTGGCCAACTATCGGTTGGTCTCTAATTTGCCCTATCTGGGCAAATTAATTGAGAGGGTGGTGGTGATACAGCTGCAGGGCTTTCTGGATGACACTTCCGTATTAGATCCCTTCCAGTCTGGGTTTTGCCCGGGACACGGGATGAAGAAGGCGCTGGTCGCCCTTACTGACGACTTCCAAAGGCACCTGGATCGGGGCGGTTTGGCAGCACTGTTGTTGCTGGACTTGTTGGCTGCATTCAACATGGTCGACCACCAGTTGCTGACCCACCACCTCGCCAACGTGGAGATACAGGGGCTTGCCTTGCAATGGCTTGTCTTCTTTCTCCAGGGTTGGGGACAAAGGGTGGCACTAGGGGAACAGCAGTCCAAGAGACACCCACTTGAATGTGGGGTGCCTCAGGGGGCGGTGCTTTCCCTGATGCTGTTTAACATTTCCATGTGCCCCCTTGCCCAGGTTGCTTGGAGGTATGGGTTGGGCTGTCATCAGTACGCTGATGACACTCAGCTCTATTTGATGTTGGGTGGCCAGTCAGACTCCAGACCAGAAGATCTGGAATGGATGTTACAGGCTGTGGCTGGTTGGCTTAGGCTGAGCCGGCTGAAGCTAAACCTGGCAAAGACGGGGTCCTGTGCTTGAGTCATGGCAGTACAGGGTTGAGGATACTGCTCTTTGATGGGGCGCCGCTGGTGCCAGTGTTGGAGGTTAGGAACTTGGGAGTGCTCCTGGATCCCTCCTTAACAATGGAGGCCCAGGTAGCAGCCACTGCTAAGTCGGCCTTTTATCATCTTCAGCTGATTCAGCAGTTGGTTCCCTTCCTCGACCGTGGCGACCTGGCTACAGTGATCCATGCGACGGTCACCTCAAGATTAGACTACTGTAACACTCTCTACATGGGGCTGCCTTTGTCGCAAACCCAGAAGCTGCAGCTAGTGCAGAATGCCGCAGCCAGGCTGTTGATGGACCTCCCGTGTTGGGAGCACATCCAGTCTGTGCTTAGGTCACTGCACTGGCTGCCAATAGCATACCGAATTCGCTTCAAGGTGCTGGTACTTACCTTTAAAGCCCTATATGGCCAGGGTCCAGCATACCGGAGGGACCGCCTTTCCCCATACATACTTCAGAAAGCACTACAGTCGGGGTCACAACATCGGCTAACTATTCCAGGCCCTAAAGATGCCAAGCTTGCTGCCACTAGGGCCAGGGCCTTTTCAGTGGCTGCTCCTTACTGGTGGAATGAGCTCCCGGAAGAGATCAGGGCCCTGCGGGACCTTTTGCAGTTCCGCAGGGCCTGTAAGACGGAGCTCTTCCATCAGGCTTTCAATTAGGAGCTGCCCACCATTATCAACAATGATACTACTTGAACATCTGTAGTATAAAGCTGGCCCTAATGCAGAATTAGAGCTATACCTACATAGGAGACCGGAAGATCGCTGAATTGGGAACCTGGACGGAAGATTTAGAGCGCGCCATCTAATTTAATGAATTATTAATACTGTGAGCACTTTAAATGTTATGAATGTTTTAATTGTTTTAAACTTTTTAAAAGGTTTTATGTAGACCAGGTACATTGTACTGACCACTGTAAGCCATCCTGAGCCTGTCCACAGGGAGGGCGGGGTATAAATACAAATAATAAATAAATAATCCAGGAGAACTGGGTTTGATTCCCCACTAGGGTTGCCAGATCCCCCGGTCCCACAGGGGTTTCCTGATACGAAGGGGCTCTTTCTCACGTGCTGGCCTCCCGCCTGTTGCTAAAAGAATTGAAAGGGATGCTTTAAATGCTTTTGGCAAGAAGCAGGGGTGGCTGGTCCCCAATGTGATAACGTCGCTTCTGTCTGATGTAATCACGTTTGGAACATCCCCGCCCCCTCCATTAATGCCCCCAAAGTCCCCTTCTGGGAACTTGGAGGGACCTGGCAACCCTATTCCCTACTCCTCCATATGCAGCTGCTGGGTGATCTTGGGCAAGCCACAGTTCTCTCAAGAGCTGTTCTCTCTTTCAGCCCCACCTACCTCACAGGGTGTTTGCTGTGGCGAGAGGAAGGGAAGGAGATTGTAAACCACTCTGAAACTCTGAGTGAAGGGCAGGGTATAAATCCAATCTCTTCTCTTTCTCTTTAGAGGTGCCCTGCTGCTGTCCCATGTCCATCCCGTGGCTGGCAAGGGACGGAAAGCATTCCATGGTCCAGTGTTTCTCACAGTGCCTGCCCTGCCCATCATTCCCCTGTGGTATGTTGGCATAGCCACACAGGGTCCTGTGGATGGTGATGCCTGCCACCAGCCTGAGGTGGAGAAGGTGCAGCTGTACAGGCTGGGTGGTGGAGCATGCCAGTGTGGCCTTCACCATTGCCAGAGGCAGCTATTTGACTACGTGCCACTCTGTCTTTTGGCCATGCAGCATGGATGGAGGCATCTGTCCTGAAGTGGTGGAATGACTCCTCCAAAGGAGCCCAAGCCAGCTCAGAGATGCATGCATCCCCCTGTGGCCCAGTGCATCCCTTATGCAGTGGTGGATGGTTTGCCTATTGCAGAGGCCATGCTGTGTGCGATGATCCTGCCTATCATAGTGGGTGGCTTCGGCATCAAAGTTCTGTTCAGTAGGTATATGGCCTCACAGATGGGGCACCCCTGGGTGGGGGGGGGTTTGTACCTCTTGCCACCCACTGACTCCTGCAATTCCTCCTGTAGGCAACTTGCTTAGTTGGGAGACTAGTACCAGAATTTCAGCTTCCAAGTCTGGTGAGGGGGCTGAGCCACATGCTGGCTCGGGGATCACAAACACAGCTACGCACCTGGGGGAAGAGGACGACAATGTGGACCCACTGACCTCTCTGGGTGACCCCTCCAATGGATGCCAGTGGGCTGTACCCCTACCCTTCTTACTGCAGTGGCAAGCCACCAGGAGATGGCAGTCAACAATGGGGCAGCTGCCCCTACTGCAGCAGCTGTAGGGGAAGATGGGGTTGGAGTTGAGGTGGCCATGGGAGTAGGGCATGGCTATGAGCCCTGTGACTGATATGTTGCTCTCGGTTTCCTTGCAACCTTCTCTGCTGGTGTTGTAGAGCATCTTTGTATAGAGGCTGGGGAAGTTGTCCTCTAGACCTTGGGCATTGGGGGCTCTTTGGGGTGAATGGTTGTGGATAAGCCCACATCCTTGTATGGTGGGGCATCAGGGTTGGGTCATAATACAGCCTGGCCCAGCCCCAAATGATGCAGCTGTTTTGGCCCCTTGTGTGGCTGAAGATTTGGAGCTGCTGCCAGTTTCCCAGACATGGGGACCAGGCCCAGTGCACCACATCCACTGCATCATCTATGTGAGTGGCCACCAAGAGGAAACAGCTGGAGACTTGGTGCTTCACTTTCCCCAACCATTCGGAGGACTATCAGATACTTAATTTTCTGTCTGGGAATGAAAATCACATCTCTCAAACAGTTGCCAAATATATATTGGTTGTACCACAAATTCAAGCTACTGCCATTAATGGAGTGCCTAGGTAAATATGCAGTGATTCTGTGGCTATTTTAATTTAATTTGATATTTTAAATTATGTCAATGGTCACATTTTCCTAAAGTGCTGAATGTTCCTTTTCTCATGCATTTCAATTATTGTTCCATTATTTTGTCTAAAAGCCAATGTGCTATGTAGACTTCCTTGATTAAAGAATGAATGTAATACACTACATTTAAATATCCTTCAGCTATTTATGTCTACCATTTTTCAGGTTCAACAAAAGATTTAATTGAAACTTGCTGTGCCGCTGGACAGCAGTGGGCTATTGACAACAGTGAATGCACAGAAACTCCTGTAAGTGGAACAGATGGTGATATTTGCAGGTAGGTGCTGAAAAATTTAAGAAGCGGAAAATCACAAGCATCTTATGTTGTGTAATCTGATGTATGACCTACACTACACAAACACATCATAATCTTAAACCTGCATACTCTGGATTATACTATGGCCTTACTTGTATGCAATGCTCGCTCTAAGATGTGGAGTCTTATGAGAAAAATTCTACTTTGTGGGCTACTGGCATTAAAGTTGTGAGCAAGCGATTTGGCTACTGCATAAATCAGTTTGCTCTGGAGCCTTCCTTCCTGAGCTAAGACAAAAATGTGTGAGCTAGAGGCTAAAAAACTGTGAGCTAGCTCACACTAACTCAGCTTAGAGGGAACACTGCTTGTATGTATATCAGGTCACAAAGAATAATGTTCTCTTTCTCACAGTTAAGTACTGAAGCTTTTGAGGCCTTTTTATTCCAACTACAACAGAATGGTATCTGTGCAGATCATACACTGAACAGGAGAGAAGCATAATATCTTCATCTTTGCTTGAGAACAATCCAGAGTCATTCAGAGAATATCTCCTACATGCAAAAGCCTGTTTCTCATAAACTGGGTACATAATTTACACCAGGACATTTCTTTGCATGAAACTGCAAGAGTAGTATATTTTTCTCACAGGCCTCTGGTTCTTGCCGTTTGGGAAAGACATATTCCTGATCTGATCACAAAGTATGCCAGCCAGAGTGGTATAGGAGTAGTACTGCATCAATTTATTCCGTGGATAATTTTGCCTGGATTGCACCATGTATATTTATGCTGATCAAGACTCAGAATGCCTGTGCATGAGTATATGGTTGCTTTCAGGTGAAAGGGGAAATATGCATACGTACCATTATGTTATTAATATATGCAGACATCAAATATCTTATTTTATTCAGTTACAAACAGGGCTTGTTTTGTAGAAAAAGCCCAGCAGGAACTCATTAGCATAACAGGCCACACCCAACAGCAGAAACCTATTAGCATATTAGGCCACACCTCTGACAACACAGCTCATTAGCATATTAGGCCACACCCCATGCCTTCCCTTGGCTTGCCCGGGCACCCTGCAGCTGTGGGGAGCCCGGGCAGGCTGGCCCTTGGACAGGCCAGGGAAGGCACCGGGAGGCATTTAAATGCCTCCCCAATCCTTCCAGGGCTCCCCCTGGTCCATCCGCCTCAGAGTCGCCTGGGGGGGGTCGCTCTCCAGGCCAGGCACGCAGAGGTTTTGGCCGTAGTGGGTGTGGCCAACTCTGAAGCCAGCCGGAACTCCGTTCCTGTATTCCTGCCCAAAAATAGCCCTGGTTACAACTATAAGAAAAGTAATGAGTTGCTTGTCAGCCCTTTTCTTTTCTACTTTCTTTGTGTACTCCCTGTTTTCTGCAAGCATAAAATACATATGCCTGAAAGAGAGTTGAACTGAGAGTCACTCTGAACATAAGGATATAAAAGATTTCTGGGCATCTCTAAAATAACTTGCCAGTGTAACAAAATGCATGTAATAGTCTGAACATATGCACTTAACAAATAATGTTAGTTATTCATAGTGGTATACTAAGCACAGGTATACCCTTCTGTGTCCATTCAAGTCAGTGGGTTTAGAATTCTGCAATTCTATTTAGGATTGCAACTGTTAGTAATGCATGTTTTAAAAATTGATGTGACACAGGACAAAATTGGGAGAAAGGAGATCTATGTGTGTGCCATCCTGTGCTTCCTGAAAGAAGGACAGGATAAAATGTGCTATACAGATAGAGTGTGGCAAGTTTCATCTGCTTCCTGGAGAATGTTTATTACGTATTATTATCTTGTACTTTTGATAAGTCACTATCAGCCTGATCCTATCAGGAGTCCCTGATAAAATTTACTTAATTTACAGCCTTTATCCAGAAAAAGTTGGTTGCACAAGTCCAATTTAAATCAATGAGGCATGTTGTGTCTAACAATCCCCACTGGGACTTCAGCATGCTTAATGTTCTCTGGATTTGGGCTATTAAAGTCTGATTTCTCAGCCGCTATCTGATTTTGAAAGCTCCCTTCGAGCTTTGGATTTCAGAACTGAACTCTGAAAATGATTTCAAGGCCCAGAGTTTAGTGTTTTATTTAGGACAGCATTTGATTAAAGCAGTCCTAAACTATTATTTTAAATGTTGGTTTTATGTTTTTATGTAATCTATTCTGTATATTTTATTTATGTTGTTAGCTGCCTTGAACTCTATAAGAAAGAAAGGAGGCTAATAAATATTTTAAATAAACAAGTAAATAAATGTTTCTGCAAGTTGGGACTTGAAAGATTCAGGGGTTCCCATTTCCCCCCCCCCCCCCCTGCTTGCTTACCCTAAATTCCCTTGGAACCCACAACCATCTTCAGCTTGGTCTCCTGCTCCTCTCCCCACAGGAAAACACAGGGAGGGGGATTCTTCTTTATGCACATGCCACCTCCCCAATTCTGCTTGCTTGCCACCCCACCTGCCTGATCACCATTTCCCCATCGATCCCCTTCCCTGCCACCATGCCCACCCCCTTCCTCCAACAGTCTTTCTGCTGTCCTCACCCATCTGTCTGCTAACTTGGCCCCCACCCCACTATTCTGCCTGCCCTCCCTTTTCACCACTGCTCTGCCTTCCTGGCCACTCATCTTGCCCCCTTTCACTCTGCTGCACCCATCTCCCTCCCCCTGTATTGGCAGAGACTTCTAGTCTTCTTCCACTGCCTGCCTACCCACAGTGGTACTGCCATCTGGTTCAAACAAAGGGAGGACAGTGGCTTCTGCAGCTCTTTCTCCTCTTCCTCACCCACCTGAGAGGTGGTGGTGGCAGTGCTGTGGTTGATGGTGCATGTGTCTGGGTATACACATTGGCATGACTCCTCCTCCCCTCCTTGCTCATGATGGGTGTAGGCTGTCCGCACATGTGCAGACACCAGTCCTGTCTTGTGGGGGAATTTAAAACCCCTCCCTGCATTGTTTATAACTTTTCAAAAATTCCACATTCCCTAGGTTCCCCCAAGTTTTCTGTCAACATGTTCCTGATCCACAGATTTAAGTATCTTCAGATGAGGCCATGTTGACTATTAGATATACTGATATTTCCCAACACAAAGACACTTTTGAATGAACACTTTAATTAGCAATGGAAAGCATTACTAGTTTTGGAGCCACAGATGTGACACTATCTCATATGGCAAGGTATAAAAGGGAAAAGAAACTGTACATAAAACCCATACTACTGTTTTGTGGATGGGGTGAGCATCCTGCTCAGGTTTTTAGAACCTGTTACTAGACTCTTATATGCTCAGACAGCCCTTTAAACACAAGTAATGGAAAGACAAAATACAAGATGACTTAGCAAACCATTTAAGAAGTTGTACTTGAGAATTAGAAATTCAGATTATTGTGTGCCGTGGTAACATAGATCAGGTTATTGCAATGTGCTCATCATGGAGCTACCCTTGAAAACTGCCTGGAAACTATAGTTGGTACACTGTGGTGTGTCCAGAATGTTCACTGGAGTGGACTGTAAGGACCAAATAACTCCAGTCTTGTTCCATCTACATTGGTTCCCAATTTGCTTCTGGGTCCAATTAAAGGTGCATGTATTAACCTTTAAAGCCCTATATGGCTTGGGCCAGCATACCTTAAGGACCGCCATTTCCATCCACTCTTGTCATCTTTGGACTAGAGTTATTATATTAGGTTTGTAGGAGTGGGACCTACTGCATCCAGGGGCTGTCATTCCACTCTGGGGCCTGTCATTCCAGAACCAGAGTAGTCTGTTTGGGCCCACAGACCCTAATGGAAAATCCATTCTGCAATTTTATTGCAACTCTACTTGTACTGTAATGTATTTCAATGGAGCCCATGCAAGTCAATTAGTATTCCTGGCTCCCATTATTTCCAATGGGCCTTCAAGTGTTTCCCATTGCTTCCAATGGGCAATCCTGTCCTTCCTTTTAGTACATCCCGGTGAAGATCCTTTGCCTCTGTACCAAGGAGCCAGCCTTTCCTCTCACCTCTGTTGGTTCTGTGTGTCCCGGTCATGACGACTGCTATAAATCTGGGTAATGGGGGGGGCAGTTCCAATCATTTGACTAAACTACTGCAGAGCTACTTTCTATAAACGAAACAGTCTCTCTCCCCGTAGGAGAGTGTACTGCTATATAGACACCTGCATTGCTAGCTATGTGTGTGTGGGGAGAAACACGCAGATCTGCCCTCACAGAGGAGGGAGAGCTTTTACCTAAATAGGCCTTGGTCTTTAAAGGTGCCATGGGACTCTTTTGCATTGTTAGCTATTGGGGGGGGGGAACACAGAGATCTGCCCTCACAGAGGAAAGGCAGGAGGGGGTTTGCGGAGGCCTTTCCAGAAGGATCCCCCCCAGGTGAGCAGATAGGCTGAAGCAGCCAAGCCAGGTCAGAGGCCTGAGGAGGGAGGAGGGCTCCCCCAGCTCACCAGGCATTGTGCTGGAAAAGACGGGCCGAGTTGATCAGGAAGCGGCTCCTGAAGGGCGCCCTTCGCCATCCCCGGACACCGCCATTGGATGAGAGCGGCTGGCCAAGGAGGAGGGCAGAAGACAGAGCTGGAAGAGCCCATGCCGAATAGTGCTTCTGGCCCCGTTGCAGGAACCACTGCCCGGCTCAGGCACTAGGCCAAGAGAGGGATACGGAGGGAGGAGTGGTGAGCAGCTTGCCCTAAAGGTGTGGTGGTGTTGGCAGCTGCAGCAACAGCAGCACAGGGACCACTGGTGGTGCCTTCCAGCCAGTAGCAGTCAGTTGCAAGCCTTCTCCCTTGTGCGCCACCCGCTGTGTGCGATGGGGAGGGCGTGGAGGATGGCAGCATTATGGTGTGCAGCTCTGTGGGGGAAGCTCGAGCCTCTTGCCCCATACGGTGGCTCCCATAAAGGAGAAAAGCCAAGTGGGCGGGATGGGAAAGGCGGGGGGGCCTCTGTAGGAGGGGATGGGCAGGCGTTCCCTGGGGCTTCGTGCCTCCGCATGGGCCAGAAAAGCTGAGGTGAGGGTGGAGCACAGAGGAGAGGGCTGCTGAGAGTAGGGGGCGGGGCTTGATCATGTGCCCACCCCCTCGGCTCTTCACTCCCGGAGCGCCACTCCTCTGTCCTCCCCCTGCAACCAACCCCTGATTCTTTAGTTATTTCGTTTGTATAGTTGTTTAGTTATTATATTAGGTTTGTATACTGCCTTCCACACAAGCAGGCTCAGGGTAGTTCATAGCAGATTCATATAAAACACAGTCTATTAAATAATTTAAAATACAGTTCTAAAACCCAATAGCCATATGATACCATCATACAGTTCTGCCCCCCCCCATTACATTTATGATGGGGGAAGAGGGGTGAAAGCAGATTGTGAATCAGATAGTTATTAAGAACTATTAAACTCTTACAAACATTCTATTATTGTCCCAGTATTTAAAAAGGGGTCCAGAAGTGATCCATTCTGTTATCAACCAATCAGCCTTCTTTCTTTTTTAGGAAATCTATACTCTGTTTATCTACTAAAGAAGCTCCTGGATTGGATGGAATCAGAAGCCTTATTGAGACATGAACAGATAGGATTTAGGTGTGGTTCTTCGACATGTGACCATTGCCCAGTTCCTTATCACCTGGCTGAGAAATATTCATCCTTTGGGAAGGGCATCTGTATGTGGCTTTTATTGACCTCAAGGGGACCTTCGATTCTATAAATCGCCCCAGATTGTGGAACAAACTTAATCAAACTACTATGGACAAAAGACTCCTAGGACTCATTCAACAGTTATATTTGGATTTGACTGCCCAAGTACGATGTGGGTATGATGAGAATGTAACAAATCCATTTAATTTGGAAAAGGGAGTACAACAGGAATGCTTGTTGGCACCTTTTTTGTTTAATTTATATTTAAATGATGCAGCAACAATCTTTGATGACTGCTGCCCCCACCAAAATTAGCTGAGATTGGAGTGCCTGTTATACTCTATGCAGATGGCACTCTGATCTTGTCCTGAACTAGGGCTGGGCTGCAAAGGGCCTTAGCCGGGTGATTAACTATTTGAAACTATTGTTATCCACTCTAAATTGAGATACCCACAAATTGACTTGGATGAAAGCCCTGGATGAGAAACTGATGATAGTTGGAATGTTGATTAATGATATGTTAAGATGGACAAATCCAAAGCATTTTCTCTGATCAAAAAGCATGTTCTAGAAATCAAACATCTTCTGCCATTCAAGATCTGTGAATCAATGAGCTTCTAAGGTAGGGTTGCCAGGTCCCCTGTGGGGGGCAGGAAAACCCCCGCTCAAAGGGTCCTTTACCCGCCGGCCCGGATTGGGCTGCCGGGGGAACCCTACCCCTAAAGTGCCGGGATCACAGAGACGTGCCCGGAGGTGACATCATCGCATCGGGCATGTTGCAGGGGGGACGCTCTATCATTCGAGGGAAAACTCTAGAGGGGGGCCGGGACTTCACCGCTGCAACTAATGGTAGGACTTGGCATCCCTATTCTAAGGGGATCAAAGGAAAGGAAAAACTGTTGCTGTTAAAAACCATTGCTGTCCTCAACTGTGACTGTGGTGGAACATCTCTGCCTTGCAGATCCTGTGGAATTGTAACAGATCCCGCAGGACTCTGGTGTTAGCAGGCAGAGAGTTTCACCAAGTTGGAGCCAGGGCCAAAAAGGCTGGACAGATAGTAGTGAAGTTTATTGTTATTGCTGTAGCCATAGGAGTGAACATATTGGGGAGGTATGGCCTGGGCCCCCGGGAATCTTACTCCCTTGACCACCTCAGGGAAGTGCATCCACAAAGGGAGGATGAGACGGGGGAAGCGGACAGCAAACCTTGAGAAGATGGTCTGACAGAGAAGAAGAAGGATGGAAACGGGGGGTCCAAATTAGGGAATTGGCTAGCCCTGTGACCGCACTCCTCTGAAGCATGTGAGGGAGGGACAGTAGCAGGACTGGGATATTTAAGGAGAGAAGACAGAGCTGACCAGGGAGGAAGGGCCTGGAACCTGTATGCAAAAGGGGCCAGTACAGAGAGACTCCGGGAGAACTCTGCTAATAGAGGCCAGGAAAAGGGACAAGAGGATTTGGGTGAGTGAACCCCCTTCATCTCTCTATTCTGAGGACACAATCTGGACTTCAGCTTCCAAAAATCTCAAGCCCTGGAGCCCACTCTTCCTCACAATGCCCACAGTGAACCAACAAGTCCTGACAGACCCATAGAAGGAACAATGCAGAATGTAGTGTGCAATATCTTCCACCTGATTAAGACCACAAGGGCAGAGGTGTTGTTCCACAGGTATTTTTTTAAAAATCTGCCCTGTAAATACTCAGATGGCATAGTTTGAAAATGTGCACTAGTAAATGCCTTTCTTAATGTAACATTAGAAAGGTCAGCTAAGTAACAAGAGAAGAATTTGTGTTTCATAATCTGAGGATGCCACAGAAAGAATTTGGATTGTCAGGCCATACTGATATCACAGAAGGGCATCTTTTTCAAAAAGCCAGTTACAAATTTTGCTTGAGTCCCAAAGCTTTGAAGCTTCTAAAAAGGGCAAGGAGTATAACTGTAGAATAAGGTAAAGGTAAAGGTCTTTGGAAATACTGTCAAGTTTCTTATAATATTTTAAAAGTTTCAAGTGGACTCTTGTTGTAATAGAGGGTAGTCCAACTTCTAACCTTAAGATTGCAGTAGGAGTTTCCTGAGGGAGACCAAAGATTTTTCCTTAAGAAGTTGTTATGAATTATTTCAAGCTGGTCAAGTATTTTCTCATTCCACCCCCCTGTTTCAGCCCTATACAAAAGCTGCGTGGTAACTTTTTCCTGGAATACCTTAAGGGATGGGGCTATTAGTTGGCCACCATTTGAAAAGAAACTTTTTAAAATAGCTCCCAATGTATGGTGGGCATTTGATAAAATGGCCGCTTTTTCCTGGAATACCTTAAGGGATGGGGTTATTAGCTGGCCACCATTTGAAAAGAATTTTTTTAAAAAAAAAAAAAATAGCTCCTAATGTATGGTGGACATTTGAAAAAATGGCCTTAAGATGTCCCTACCAAGACAGAGACCCATGAAAAACTATTCCTAGATATTTAAAGGGGCATTGTTCTATTTCATGAGCATTAATAGTCCATCTGAACTTGACTCTATTATTACCGAAGACTACAATTTTTGTTTTATTATAATTAATTCTTAGTTCCTCTCTATCACAGTAATCAGCCAACCTAACTAGCATCCTTCTGAGCCCAAGTTTGGTAAAAGAGAGTCGGCAGCCTGAGGAAGGGCCTTCTCTGTTTTGGTGGCAACATTTTGGACCTCCCTCCCCAGGGGAATTTGTCTGTCTCCCTCTATCATTGCCTTCTGGCAGTGGGTGAAAATGTTTCTATTTTGTTTGGCATACCCCCAATAACTGTCATTGGCCTTCATCTCTGATTGTGTTGTTATGTGTGTGTGTGTGTATGTTTTTATTAAGTTGTTTATTATATATATTTCAAATACTGTTTTAATGATAAAATGTTTTGATGTTCCTTGCCTTGGGGACCCTAACTGGGTAGAAAGGCAGTATAGAAATGATTTAAATAAATATAAATGTATTTCTAATGGTATTTGTAGCTAATATCAACTGAAGTGGAATCTCACTAAAAGAGCACTTGAAATAATCCAAGGGAGCTGGAATTATTGGAAACTTATATAGTATTGTATCCCAAGGGAATAGATCTGAAGAAGGTTTATAGAGATGAGAAAGAGGGAAGTTTAAAAATGTTTGTCATTGGATGTGTGTAATTGAAAGTTATTAGTTTTGGTGTTGATGTGGAAGGAAAATTCAGATAGTTTGGTAACTACGTTGCTTTGTGGAATTAATTTGAAGTACAAGAAAATAATTGTATTTGTATCAATAATTGTTGGTGAATATGCATTTTTCTGAAACACCCCCCCCCCCCAAAAAAATGAAATAATCCAAGGGAAAAAAATATGTGTCAAGTATCCCATAAAGAAAAATAATATAAAATAGAGCACATGGACAGATGCTGCTTACCTAGTATTTTGAGTTTGTAAAACAGCCATGTAATTGAATGGCACAGGAAACATATCCAAACATACATTCAGTGTGGGGCACCAATTTTTACTGTGTGTGGAAGTTTTAGCCTTCCTTTTGAAAGCATCCTGTGTTTTATTTGTTGTAGAATTGCTCAGAAGCAGTGTTGTGTATCGTATTTAAAGGAAAACAGCTGCATTGCTGGCATGGTTGCTGCCAGAGAAGGTGATTTGTGTGGACCGGATGAAAGTGATACCTGCGGAGGATCATTGTACAAGGCAAGATATTCTGCTGAAACCTTTGTGAAAGGATTGCTAAAACCAATCTGCTTTAAGTCTCTGCATTTTAAATGGTTGATCATGGTCTACATTTCACTGCAAAAAATCATGGGTACAGAATGAACATTTCACTTAGCTAAGCATTTACATTCTTAGCTTGAGCCAGATAGATACACAGTCTTGGTTTCTGTACTTTTCACCAAAAAGTGTAATTGCTTTCTATCTCATTGATAAGAATTTCATAAGCACCTCTTCCACCTAAGCAGTGCTACATTATTGGGGGGACCTGAGCAACTTCCAGGCTCCCTGACTCTGAGAGTAGCCAAAGACCACCCTCAATGTCCAGGAGCCAAAGCAGTAGTGCATATGGTGCCTTTAAGGCAAAGACTGCTGCTCCACTTCTTGATAGGGATTGGGCCTTTAACCGGCCACTGCCTGATGAGCAGCTGGGATGCAGCCTTGAGCCATGGGTTGGGAAACAAGGAGATGATTTGCAGCTGGGATGTTGGGGCACTGACAGCTTCCCACAGGAACTGCTTAGACCCCCACGGGACTTCCAGAGGGGTGGAACCTCCAATGGGGCTCCCAGGACAAACTGGGCCCTTCAAAAGGCAGAGGGAAATAGGTCAGAGAGGACACACTGGCTCAGTCTCCTTGGGTTTAGAGGAGCAGTGTCAGGAGAGAGGTGATAAACCAGCATGAAGGAAACCTTCTTTCCTCCAATATGAGGCCTGTGGATGGATACACAAGTGCCTCCTCCTGACACAGTTCTGCCAGACTATTGCAGGGTTTCTACATACACTTAACATACATCAGGAGACCCCAGTACTGTACAATATAGGATTTTTTAAAAAAGAAACCTGGTAACATACATTATTATTATTTTTATTGGATGGGAACTGAAATTGGCAGTTAAAAAGCTGGCTTAGGGCAACAAATTTTTATTTGGCTATAGAAACTTTATCTCATAAATAAATATTGTGTTGATGCTAAACTGAGGAATGGATCCTTTCCTGCCAAAAATCTACTTTGTTTATTCAGCCCCCTAATTTAATCTGTACAATGAAGGCTAACCAGGTCCTGCAAGTTCAAGGTCCAGTTCCTTATTTATTATACCCTTTCTTCCCCGTTATATCCAAAGTGAAGGTTTCAGGATCTATTGAAGACTGATCACACTTTACATAGCTCTTTGATACTCCCCATTATATTTTTCTGTATTCTATTGTCTTGGTGGGAAATGTATTAATCCTGCTTGGTCTTGTAATGCCCCAAAGTCTTGCACATTATTTGACAGGGGGGAAAAAGTGAAGGCCATTCTTGGTGCAACATAGGGTTTAATCAGTTTGATTTAATTATTTAATGTTCAGATCACTGTTTCTGAAAGAAGCAAAAATGCTACACTGAGGCTGCTGTCACACACACTAAATAATCCACTTTCAATCCATTTACCAACTGGATTTCTACTGTGTGAAATGGCAAAATCCACTTTGAAAGTGCACTGAAAGTGGATTATTTAGTGTGCGCAGGGGTCTTGTTGTAGAAAAAGAGCTGCCGGAGCTCATTAGCATAACTCATTAGCATAACTTATTTGCATATGCCACGCCCCCTGACATCACCGGAAGTGACAGAAGGCCACACCCCCTGACATCACCGGAAGTGTGTCAGAAGGCCCGGCTACTTACCCTCCTGCTTCATCCTCATTCCCAAACGGAATGAGGATCGAAGCAGAGGGCGGGGTAAAGAAGGGGGCGGGGCTTCACCACGTGACCGCCCCGCCCCCTAGAGGTTCTCTTCCGGAGCTCCGTACCTGAGAGCTCCCCCCCGACTAGAGCCCTGAGTGTGCGTGACCACAGCCTGAGATCTGTCTGATGGATCACTTTATTTGCTGCACATGCAACTGTTTTTTGGGTTTTTTTAAGTACCCGGTAGGTACACTTTTATTACTTTTCATATTATACACAAACCAACATACATACAACATATAACAAACATCCACTTACATACATAACGCATACAAAGAGATCAGTATAACTCTATTACCATATTTAACAATTTTCTTAAATCACTTTCTATAGGCTTGCTTAAGTTTCTGTACACGCTTATCTTTTTACCATAGTTTCTAATTAACTAAACAAGATTAATAATACCAAAATTTCCATTACTTTAAACTATGCATTTATATTGTATCAGTCATACAATTTTTTCCACGTCTTTTGAAAGGTTGGGTCTGTTGTCCCTCTCATCAATGATGACAATTTATCATTTTCAGCCGTCTCCAACAGTTTATTCACATATTCTTGATTCTTTGGTGCTTCCATTTGTTTCCAATATTTTGCATATAATATTCTTGCTGCCGTAGATAGGTGTACTATCAAATATCTATCACCTTTATCAAAATCCTTTGGAAATATGTTTAGTAGTCATATTTCCGGGA